CTACTTTACATTGTTACAGTTACAAAATTATGAAACAACTTTGACATTTCATCTTTTATATGAAAAGGACTTTCAAGGGACATAATAATGTTGGTCAACAGTTAGGATAGGCTGGAATGCATGTCATAATAATTACACCTGTATTGCAAAATGGCACATGATGGCTGCTCCTTTCCACTGCTAGGAACAGTATTTTTTTTTTTTACAACTTTATGATTCTTAACCTTATTTTGGCACTTCTGGAAATCCTGTTTCTGGAGGATAAACTAACTTCACAAAACTCTAAATGTCTATCTACATCATGTAAATTTTGAAAGAAACAATTTACAAGATATGCCCTCCGTCAATGAAAACACAGTGTATCAGGGAAAACTTGTCTCCAGAGAAAAGCAAAGACCCTTCAATGGAAAACAAACAAAAAAATCTGCAATTCTTTCTGCTTTTGTGCACAAGGATCATAAATCATCAAAAAAAAAAAAAATGCAGGTACATGCACCACAACATCAAACAGAAAGCGTAATAATATTTGATCCTACAGACAAAAGTAAAGCCAACATTAAGAAACTAGTACTCGAACAATTACAGCAAAGCAATTGGTCAGTTCATTTATATTGTATGAATTGCCAACATGTGATCATAGTACACTCATCAACATCAATGATTGGTTGTCCTAATCAATAAGCAGGTTACAGGGAAGGCGACACAAAGACACAGCATGTTCGGGTTGGACTCCGGCATCCAGCAGCCTGCTGATGTGAGGCATTTAGATGTAAGCAACATTTCTGCACTGAAGATAAAAAATACAACCAGTAGAGGCAACACAAGAGCAGCAGTTACAAGCTAAACTACAGTGGTCCCAGAACAGAGTCGCTACTGGAAAACATGCTGGCCTGTTGTCTTGGATCATGGATATATAATCATGTGGGCGGGTTGCTTTCAGTTGTGCATATATTTCCATTTCTATCTGAATAATATTTAAAAATCTGCCATTTTGGAGATGCATTTGTTTGCTATCTTTCCAAAAGCCAAAAGTCTGGCTTGGTACTGAGATGGAGACTGAAGTCTAGAAGCTACAAAAAACATTGCCTTTCAGTTTCCCCTGGATCCACTGTACTTGCAAATAGACTAAATTATTTAGTAACATTTAGTATATTTTCTAACAAACTGATGAGAGAAAACATCAAGGTTTATTGCACTGCTTCTTCTGCATCAATTTAACTAGCCACCATTAAGTCACCTCAACAATTTTTATCACGGCAGCGCAGAACTGTTGGTGGCTATGAAAGGATGTTAGTGAGTTCACTAAGCTCTGTGTAAAGCCTGAACTGCACGACTGCGGATGATTTCAGCATAAACATAACGCGGTAATAACATGAATCCAGCAGAAGAAAAGATTTCTACATCCCGAGTTGAAAAAGGATTTTTACCAGACCTCTGACCCCATCAGGATTTGAAGCAGGCAAATACTAAATATTTCAGTGTCAATTTAAAAACACTCACTTTAGAAGAAAATACAAACGAGCGGCAAATATGGAAACAATTAGTTTTAATAGAATCTGTTAAGTTAGCAATTTTTTTGTTTTAGTCTGTGAAGTTTTTAAAATAATTTTCAACACAGAATAATCCTTTATTGCTTTAGAATGTGAAGTTTTTCAAACAATCTTTAACAAAGTCCATTAAGAACAGTCTCAATGCTAATTTAAGCTAACTACAAATTTTCTTTCATCCATGAATATGGCATTTAAAAATAAAACTTGACAATGTAAACAATTTTATGATGTTCTCAAAGTATGGTGTAAAAAATGTTAGGGAACCAGGTTTCAGAGACATTTTCTGTCTTTCTGTTACATTAAACTAAGCCAATGTAAAAAATTGATCTTTTAGCTGCTTCTGAGTTTTTGCTGTGCTAAACTAAACTATCATGTTCAACTGCATCATTAAAGAACCAGTTTAGGATAATGCTACTTTTCTCTTTTTGAATTTATTGCTGTTATATTCTTATTGTTTATGAAATTAAACAATCACTGTTGAACAAGGTGTGTATTATGTTTAGTTGGATATTTAGGTATGATAGTGGTTTCCAGGGGCAAAGGAAAGGTATCATTTTACAGATGCTTCTTAGATTTTAGCTAGAGGCAAAGATAAGCTAACACCTTCATCTTCCTCTCTGACAAATAGTTTTCACACTTTTGGAACAAACTAAATAAATATCTTTCCCAAATGCTCAAACGTCTTTAAACCTTTTGGACCCAAGCCAGAAAAAGTGCTAATGTGTAACGTCAGGTCTTCAAAGGTTAAAAATTGCTGCATGCAACCCAAATATGACATCATCAGAATAATTTCTTGTTTGGTGTTTCTTTCAAAGTATGTGTATGAACTGTGGGTGATTTCTAATAAAGCCAGGAGAAATGTTACATGGTCATTGAGCTGGGTGGTTGTACTCAGGGTTAACAAAAGAGAAGCCTTGGAATTCTTCCTGGTCCAGGTTGGATATTAGCTCCTGATCTGGGGGGGTCAGCTCAGGGAGGTTGCGTGTGAAAAAGCGATCAAAGTTCTCGGCATCACGCCCACACTGCCATGGAGAGGAGAGATGGAGGAATGGATTGAGTTTCATGAAGGGTGAGGGAAAGAAAACGGACGACAAAAAGAGAAAAAAGAGAAATACAACTAAAATATGGTATCAACCAATCAAATCACTCACAGCAAAAACTGTGGAATTCCATTGGTCTAAATGAAAGCAGTGGGCATACAGGTTCATCATTGGTGACTACACTAACAAGTTTTAGCTTCACATTTGTCAGAGTAGTGACCAATGGTAGCAGATGGTTGTGTTCTGGTGATGGGGAATTTTTTCACATCTACAGTGGCTTACAAAAGTATTCATACCTATTGAACTTTTCCATATTTGACACATTAAAACCACAGTCTTATTTCATTTTAATTTTATATGACAGACCAACACAAAGAGGTGCACAATTGTGAAGTTGAAAAAAAAAACTACATTATTTAAAACATTTTGACAAATAGAAAACGAAAGTGCAGAGTGCAAAAGTAGTCAGTCCCCTTTTCTCTGCCTTCAGAAGTTACCTATTGACTCTAATGATTAAACAGAGTCCACCAGTGTGTAAATCTAATACCAGTTGAAATCTAGCTGCTCTGTGATAAAACCAGGGCTACAATGGAGTGCTTTAAAACTAATCATATTCATATGATAGAATGGCCCAATCAAAGACCAGACCTAAACCCAACCCAGAATCCGTGGTGAGATCTGAACGTGGTGTTCACAAACGCTGTGCATCACTGAGCTTGAGATGTTTTACTTTGGGATCAATTATGTATTTCTGAATTTGAATTCTGCAGAAGAATAATGAGCAAAAATTTCAGTGAATAGATGATCAAAGCTGGTGGAGACAAACCCAAAAGACTTGACGCTGGAATTGACATGATGCTGGCTCCGCCCCCATGGTGACATAGACCAATCCTCCCCCAATCATTCCAGGGCAGTTGTCAGCAACTGACCAATCAGCGTTGCAAGTACACGCCCTTTATCTAGAAGAACTGACCTACGACAATATTGACAGTATTTAAAACATGCTGCAGTCAGAGAGATTTTGAGGAAAATAATAGATAATCACGGGCCAAGTTGTCAGTGGGTAATATGCAATCCTGACAGCTGTCACCTAGAGCATGTAGAGGGCGGAATACAATTTATTACATTCCCAAAACCAAAAAGGAGACTAGAATAATGCAAGAAATGGATCATGGCCTGCTGCCTCCCTAATGTTCAGTTGAATGAAACTGGTAGACGGGATCTACCAAGTCAATCAGCACCAAGCAACTTGTAGTAAACATCTCATTTTTGTCATAAGGACACTTACTGACAGACAAATCAAGCCCTGTAGCGGTTTATTAGGCACAGAGTTGTACACAAGCGAATCAAGAAAACTATACATACGTATCCCCTTTGTCATGAATGTCTTAATCGAATATATTATTATTACTAACTAATATATCATGTGGAAGTAATCTGGCTAAGGTCTTGAGGGCTTCATGCTAAGGACTCACAGCTGACAACTAAGTGCCAAATAAACACAAATCGCAGTGCTAAACATCTAAATGTTTCCAGATCAATAAATGAAGGTAGTTATGATGAATAGATTCCAACGGTAGGTGGAATCTATACAGTTACTGTTGTGTGGCAGTCTCTGCAGTAGCTGCTGTATTGAGATTTAAACACCTTTTTGAGCTGCTTTTTATTTTTAAGCAATTTGTTGAAGGCAGATTTTCACAAGCCATTTTATTTAAGTCATTACTCAACCATTTTGTATGTGCAAACTGTGCCCCAGTGTTCACACTCACACCCAACCAGACTTTGTCTCTCATCATGTTTCCTCTTGGGCTTTATTGTTTATTTCCTGCTAATAACCTTACAGATCTGATGTAGGACTCCTTAGAGAATTTTCTTGCCCGCCGTCTTTGCCACAGTGTTGGGTTTATAAGGAAAAAATGACTCAAAAATGTCTTGGGTAAAGCATTGAGGACCGTTAGTTTGCCATAATAACAGTTTGCTTGTTGGAGGACAGCTCTACTTCTGCATGGGGCCGGAGCCGGCGTCATGTCAATTGCAGCAAAAGGGGGATCCACAAAGTGTTGACTCAGGGGGCCTGAATACTTTTGCCCACCACTCTTTTCAGTTGTTTAGTTGTAAAAAATATTTAGAATCACATATAATTTTCTTTCTTCTTCACTTTTGTATACCACTATGTATTGGTCTGTCACATTAAATTGCAATAAAACCTATTTATGATTGGTTGTAATGTGACAAAATATGGAAAAGTTCAAGGGGTATGAATACTTTCACAAGTCACTTTATAACTTACCTCATGGGCAAGACTAAGAATACAACTCACTTTTTTCTTATCATGGATCATTTGTAAAGCAAACTTTAGGGACTGGACACCATTATTAGGTAGAAAGTGTGCATGAGGGAATACACTCACCGCTTTTGGTTTGAAAGGAGGCTGAACCTCCTTATTCTCTAGCTTTTCCCAGTCAATATAGCGGAAGAAGGCATGCTCCTTGATGTCCCTTTCTCCCTCTGGGCCACAGCCAAGACGCTTCCCTGGGTGTTTGGTCATCAGCTAAAATATACACTTACATTTATACATATCTAGATAGATATCTGTCTATCTATGTGTATGTATACTCATACACTGATGAAAGACAGTGTATGAGTATTGTAGTATGTTCTCACCCCCTTGCAGATAGCAACAGCTTCTTTGGACATGGATTTAGGGTAAGAGACATGATGCTCCATGATTGATTGGAACAACTCATCTTCATCTTCACCATCAAATGGAGGCTGCAGATGAACAAAAATACCCAATTTTTAATTATTGTTTCCAACATTTTAACTGATTAAAAATTGAATAAGTTCATTTTAATTTCTTAACAGCAATGACACCTAAAATTTCTGTTTGTATTACTAGATCACAATATGGCATATGACAAATAATATGAAATACTTAAATTCAGATATGAAATGATAAGAAGGCATATTTGAACAAAAATGTCTTCAGAGTCAGGATGCTCAAGATGACAGAAAAACAAGGAAAGTGTTTCACAGCTGAGATGCAACAGTTTGGAAAGAGTGAGTTTATCTAATCCTTGAGAATACTAGTGGAAGTATGTGGCTTTAACAATTCAGTACTAAAATTCAAGCATTAAAACATGAATGTAGATGTTTGTTGCAGATTTTAGTTTACAGTAACAACAAACTGTTAACTAAACAGTACTGATATTAATATTGGTTTACTTATAACAATACTTACTCTCACTTGTGGGAAAAGTTACAAGTAAAACAAGTAACTGTAACTTTGGTATCAAATAATTACAACAATAGATTATTCCTGGTTTCTTTCCAGAACATCTGTAATAACTCACATTATGATTATAATAAGAGTAACAAGTTGTGGTTATCATAAAATTATAAATGAATGTTTCGAAGAAACTAAAAGGGTTGTGAATGTGATTTTGACATTGAACTTGAAATGGTGTAAAACATGTAACTGCTATTAAGGATCACTAATGTGTTGGAGGTGGATAGTAGGTGAAAGGTTAGGGGTAAAATGGGGACAAATGGGAAAGCAGAGATGACCAACGCCTTATTAGGACATAGATTGTTGAACAACTTAAACGTGCCAGAGAAAGGACATGGGAGGAACGTTGAGTCATTAGACAAGACATCAGGACAAAAGGTCTCTAAGACAGTTCATCTGTCCAAGCAGTCAGCCAAAAAACAAGCACAGCAACAGTGTTAGCCAATGCAAATGCACCGAAAGCGGGTTTAAACCCTATATAAGGGGAGAGCAAAAGAGGAATCTTTGGTTGGATCCTCCAGGCAGCTTCGAGTCAAGACCGAGACGGACAGCTGAAGAAGAGCCGGGGCCACAGAGCCAAAGACTGTCCTGCGCACGGGGACCAATCCGTCAGCCCCGCAACATGTGGCTTCAAATCGCACTTCTCTCACCAGCTGGGTTCAGACCCCAAAGACAAAGATGAAGATCAAGGCAAAGATAAAGACCCAAGTCCTGTGTGACCTCACCATGGATGCAGAGACGAAAGCTCATCAGACCAACAGAGATCCCTGCCTTCATCAATCAACCTCTTCCTCTTGCTGCAACACCTTCTTCATCATCAAGCCAGTTCTGGGGTTCGAGACACCAAACTTCGTCCGTCTCTCTCAAAGGTTCCCGTTTTAGTTCTTAGTGTCAGCGTTAGGGAAAGACAAGCTAGATGATTGATTTTACTTATTTGATTATTTGTGCTACTGAATTAAGCTGTACTGACCCTTGCAAAATTGCTTTACTAATAAAAATATTTAGCATAAAGAAAATCTAAAAGATGTTGTGGACATACAATTAACGAGTCACCTCAAAGTTCTTTGATGGTAGTAAATAGCTGTGATGTTTGATTCTGGGGAAGAAAACTAGGGAATGTTTTATAGGTTGCTTTAGCCCAAATCTAAAACAACATCTTTGGGACTCGCCAGAGTCACTAAAACCAACCTGATTCAGTAACAAGTGCAAGTTGTAATAAAGAGAAGGAGCGACCGTTAACAGATGTGCCCTGTGGAACCAGTTGGCTGCAGGCTGTTCAGTCTGGCTAATTCACAGGGGGAAGAAGGGTGAGACATCTGGATGTAGGCCGTCAGTAACCAGGCGAATCCTTCTCCATGCCAGCTTCAACAGTTTACTTCAGTTCTGGATAGGGTAAATCCCAGCAGATTTAGGAAACTCAACTCACCCGTTAGATGGAGAGCTGGTAGCACATCTCCTCTCTCAGAAGAGGAAGTAGTGACTGAGAGAGCAGAGAGTGAAGGAAAGGGGGTTGCACAATGACAACAGGCACTGAAGCTTATGCTTAGGTAAAATTTGTGCCTCTATAAAACAGATGTAGAGATTCCTGCCTAAGAAGTCTGATTGTTGTGTTACTGATGGCTTCAGGCTGTTGATACATCTATCAAGACTAAAACAGTGAATTCCCCAGAACACGTTCAGCACAACCTTCACTGCTGAATTAAAATTTGAATCTTTTCATGTGAGTTTAATTATCTGCTTTCATTTGGTACCGACTCCTGGTTATTAACAGCATTGTTGATTCAAAGTGATGCACATACCTGTCCGGCAAGCATTTCATAAAGCAGTACTCCAAAAGCCCACCAGTCCACAGACTTCCCATAAGGCTGATAAGCAATGATCTGTTGGGAAGAATAACACGTTAATCAGTTGTTACAACTGATCAAATGCATCAGCTGACGAGAGGAAAACACACAAACACACCTCTGGAGCAATGTAGTCTGGTGTCCCACAAAACGTCTTTGTTGTAATGCCATCAAACATGTTTTCTTTGCACATGCCAAAGTCTGCAATCTTTATGTGGCCTTCAGAGTCCAACATCACATTGTCCAGCTTCAGGTCTCTGTAAACATGCACAAATACCCACAACCAACCCATTACTCACAATTTTGCATTTGCAAAATACAAAAACCTTATGAGGAGGAAGGATTCAAAACCAGGCTCACCGATACACAATGCCTTTGGAGTGAAGGAAGAAGAGGCCAATGGCAATTTCTGCTGCATAGAACCTGAAACGCATAACACCACTTCATATTTAAATAGTGATGGTATATTTAGTCCAGTGAAAATATGCTAATTTTTTGTGAGATGCAACTGGCTAGTCTCTCACAAAACTGATGTGTTTGGAGTACATCTGCTTTTGAACCAGATGTATTCCAAAGCATTGTGTTCATAACTCTTCAATGAATTGCCAGCTACCGGTCAGCAAGGTTAGAACAGACTTCTAAGAAATGTAGTTGCAGTGACTGTGGCAGGGTTAAGAGCTGTTCTGGTATCTTAGCAGATAACTGCAATGTTTTCTTGCCATAAAATAACATTTTGCTGCAAGACTAGATGTTGCACAAATTAGACATTTTGCAACATTGAAAGATTATTCTAACGTGATGGAAAAAGCCACAGATGAACAAAACTGGGCACTTAATCTCTATGAGGCTATTTTAGCTTACAACAGATAAAATGTGGACAGACTGGTCAGAGTGAGCCGATGACCAGGCAGATGGACTGGATGGAAGGATGGATGGAATAGAAGGTGCAGATGGTTGAATGGACAGATTGATGGAAGGATTAGAATGGATGGACAGAGACAAATGGACAGATCAGAAGAATGGGCAGATAGCAGGAACTAGCAGGAACTATGGAAAGTCAAATTCTGTTTGTACGTCAAGTAAACCAAAATATTATTTTACGGTAATTAAGATTTTACTGTTTTCGTTTATAGAGCACCATTTGAGTCAGCAGTGCAACTTCTTCCAGCTTTCCTTTAACATCTTCCAGTTCCATGTCATCTTTTAAGGCAGGATGTGTCAAGTGCAAATCTGATTGATTGGTAAGATTTCATCTCCACAGCTCGAGTGAAGCAGGGTGGAGAAATGTGTGCATTTAGTTGTGCAGTACAGTGCGCTTGTTACAGTATAATTAAGTCCGTCCATCCATCATCTCACATGCTTATCCCCAGTGAGGTTGCAAGGGGTGCTGGTGCCAATCCCCACTGATTAATGGGTGAAAGGCAGGGTTACTAGGTGAGTCACCAGTCCATCGTAGTCAAACTAAGTCCTTACTTTCTTTTTTCTATAACAAGGTAAACTGTCTACTCCTACATTGAAACAATAAATACATAACCGTGATCTCTTTAGTTTTCTGTTATATATTTACTGTAGCCTTGTTAAATGCACCACTTCCGCCAAAGTTTGGAATGTGCTTTTGAACCAGATGTACTCCAAAGCATTGTGTCCATAACTCTTCAATGAATTGTCAGCTCCCGGTCAGTAGGATGCATGTTGTTGAGAAATTTGACCTCTATTGCTGGATTTTGTTAATTGACCACTAGAGGGTTTCGGTCAGAAAGCACTCTGGTCATCAGTTGTTTAAATAGGTTTACTGAAGGATTATGTCTCACAAAGGCGCAAATAAATTGAAGCAGTTTCTGAAAATACAAAAATAATAAATAAAGATACAAAATTACTATTGAAAAAATAGAAATATAACAATTCACAAGTAAGTTAAAAATATCAGCATTAATTCCTTTTGTGATAAGGGCTGTTTAAATTTAAATGACGAAAACTTCAGAATCAATCTAGCTCTAACTGACAAAATCTCAAACTAATGGTTAAATGCTAGATAGTCTGAGTAAAATCAAACACATTAAGAATTAAGAATAAAACTGACATTAACAAACTATAGAAATACACCAGCAGCCAAACAACTCCATCAGTAGTGATAATTAGCATCTACCTTTTCATGTCACATGACTGATACCACTACTCACGTCATCAATGACTGCGGCACTGATCTCAACAACAGAACGGAAAACAGATTAGCTGACTAAGGTCAGGAAGAAGAAAATAAACGGAACAAACCTCCTTCAAAATAAAAGGAAGCCCTTCAAAACAAAAAGCACAGATATCAGACATTGAAATCCTTGAAGAATTAGCAACAGATGTAGTTCAGTGCCCATGTCAGAGATGATATTCAAAAGGGATTTTTAAAATTAATTTTAGTTAAGATACGCTCCTGCAGATGCCCACATCTGACAGGGATTCCCAGAGCTCTGCTGGAGCCTCTCAGTGGTGAACACTACTATTTAACATAAGTATTGCAGCACAGCTCTATTTTTCATTGAGACCACAAAGTAGAATATGATCATACAGATTTCAAGGTGTTGAAGGTGTAATCAGTGTGTTAGCATGAATACTCACACAGCATGGGGCTCCTTGAACTTGCCAACCTGTTGGATTTGATACATGAGGTCTCCTCCGTTGATATATTCCATGACAAAATACAACCGGTCCTACAGGAGCAGAAAAGAATAAAGGAATAAACTCCTCTTTTTTTCTATTAGAGGAATCAATTTAAACAGTGACAGCTGATAGTAGGCAGATAGGCTGAACTCATCTTACCATGGTTTGGAAACATGAATGCAGCTGAGTGAGGAACGGAGGTTTGCCAGACAGAGCCAGAACCCTTTTCTCCACCATGGTGCACTCTACGTCATCATCTTGGATTACCACATCCTTCTTTAGGATTTTGACAGCATACAACTCATCCGTACCTTTCCTTTCTGCCAGCATCACCTAAAGGGTGTCCATAGAAATTAAACTCAATAGAAATTAAGTCAGAAACAAACTTCTGATAAGAAGTCTGACCTTTCCAAAGCTGCCTTTGCCCAGAACCATGATAAAGTTGAAGTCTGCGAGTTTGACACGGTCCTGATTGCCGTTGCTGTCGTACTTACAAACCGAGGACGAGGATGAGTCTGACGGCTTCCCTGGACCTATTTTTGCCCTCTGGAGACAGTTTGGAACATCAGTGGAAAGAAAACCTACTTACAAACAAACAAGCTCAATAAAGTTCTAGCTATTCTATTTGTCCAGATCTTACATCAATCTGCCTTCGTATCGACTCGCTCCCCTCTTCTCCGTCTGGCTGGACAGGAACACTGAAGTATTCTCCTTCCTCCTGGGACAGCAGTTTAAACCTGAAGTCCGACATTCACCCATACGTTAGATGCTGCCTTTGTTATCCTTCTTATTAAACATTACAATGCCTACTAAGGATATTCAAACCCTTGAACCTTTCCACATTTTCACATAAAGACCTCAATCATCAATCTATGGACTTTTGGTAAAAGTCAAGAAAATAGCATTTTTGCCACATCTTTTTTGAAAATATCTCAGAACAATCAGGTGGAAATTATCTGTGGAAATCAACTTTTAAGTTTTCTTAAATGCTTTTAGGTCTGGCCTTTCACTGGACCATTGTAACCATTGATATACTTTCATCCAAACCGTCTCACCGGAGATCTGGCTGTGCGTTTAGGACTGCTGTCCTCCATCTTGGTCTCGTGGTATTCTACGTCCTGGTCTCCTTCCAGCAGTACCTTGAATTTAGCTACATCCATCTTCCTTGTTTCTGCTAAGGAACAATGTATCCCCTCAGCATGACGTGACCACCACCAGGTTTCAAAATGGAAACGGTGTGAGGCAGCATCAAACAGTGCGAGTGTTTCTCGACGGCTATTGTTTTGCATATAGATCAAAAGTTCAACCTTGGTTCCATAAGTTTGTAGCACCTTCCTGCTGGGACTCCTACATGTTTTTTTTAGCAACTTTGTTTTATTTTTTTCAATATTTTCTTTCAACAATAAAATGAGAGATTTAAGAAAAGCTTAATTAATAATTGTCCTGTCAACACATTTCCCACGTCAGCTGTGGATCTATTCAGTTATGGGCTTTTTTGTTGTTTCTATGACCAGACAGGAGAGCTTTACCTCCTGTCTGGTCTGAGAGTTTCAGTTTTACAATACACCGAGTAAAACCAACCAAACCCTTTAAAAAACCTGTTTCCCCTCTCATCTGTGGTGGCGCTGTACCAAGAACATCTGAAGGAAACAACACAAAAACCTCTGAAGACACTGAGTGCATCTTCCTTCAAGGTTCCCCCACAAAGTTTACTTTGTAGAAGTGCAAAGAACCATCTTCATGCTTAGATTGTTTTGTTACCATAGCAACAATGCTATGAGTTTAATTTTTGTGTTTGAGCTCTGATGGTTCACAAAAGTATAACATCTCAGTAATTTACAATTATAACTGATTGCTTTTAAAGTTGGTCAATTAAACTACCCCTGCTATATTCCACTAAATTCATGTGGAAACACTGTAGTTCTTATGGTTCACACCAAACGCGTTTCGAGCGACAGGCGTGTCTGGTTTACATTCAAAGTCTATGTTGGACGCACTCGACGAGACAAACGCTCCAAACAGTTCAAACCGCGCCACAACGACCCTCAACGCACCTCCATATAGACTTTGAATGTAAACCAGATGTGCCTGACACGCAAAAGGTGCTTGGGGTGAACGCAGCATTAACAGCAGGACGAGTCCCTTCATCAATTGTGCTCAAGGCCTCATACAGTGTTGGCTCAGAGGGGCCGAATACGTTTGCACACTACACTGATGGTACCCCTGAAAATAATGTGACCAAAGGAACCATGTTAAATCAAGGTGTGTCCACTACTTAGCATCATGGGCATCTTGTAATCAGTCAGTAGGCCAAAATATAGAGGTACATGCAGTCACTGTGCTATTTGGTGACATGCTGTGTACCACACTGAACATGGACCAGAGAAAGTGAAGAAAAGAGATGTCTCAGGAGATTAGAAAGAAGATTATAGACAAGCATGTTAAAGGTAAAGGTTATAAGATCATCTCCAAGCAGCTTCATGTTCCTGTGATGTTCATATTTTTTAGAAATTTAAGATCCATAAGTCTGTAGCCAACCTCCCTGGACTTGACCGCAAGAGGAAAATTGATGACAAAGCAAAGAGACGGATAATACAAACGGTAACAAAAGAGCCCAGAAAAACCTCTAAAGACACTAAAGGTGAACTTCAAGCTCAAGGAACATCAGTGTCAGATCGCACCATCCAATGTTGGTGCTATCCAAAGCAGACTTAATGGGAGGCCATCACAACATCAATAGCATTTCTTCTATTGTTGAAAAGAAATCATAAAAACGTCAGACTGGAATTTGCCAGACAACATGTTGACAAGCCACAAAGCTTCTGGGAGAATGTCCTACGAACAGATGAGACAGAAACTGAACTTTTTGGTGAGGCACATCAGCTCTATGTTCACAGATGGAAAAATGAAGCATATCAAGAAAAGAACACTGTCCCTACTGTGCAACATGGAGCAGAATCTGTTTTGTAGGTAACATATAATGACATCTCTATGTTATTAAGGGATTGTAGAGAAAAATGTGCTGCCCAGTATCAGAAATCATTGTATTAGTCACAGGTCATGGGTTTTACAACAGGATAATGACCCCAAACAGACAGCTAAAAACATCCAACAATAGCTAACAGGAAAACATTGGACAGTTCTGAAGTGGCCTTCTCTGGACCCTGACCTGAATCCTATTGAGCATCTTTAGAAAGAGCTGAAACATGCCGTCTGGAAAAGGCTTCAGACCTGAGACAACAGTAGCAGTTTGCTCATGAGGAGTGGGCCCAAATGCCTGCTGAGGGGTGCAGAAGTCTCATGGACAACTGCAGGAATTGTTAGAATGCAGGAAAACCTGCAATCGCCTTTCAAAAGGTTTTCCTCTTATAAAAAAAAAATAATAATACTAAGTGAAGGGTACAATCATTGTTGTCCAGATCTGTTTCATGAACTTATTATTTTTTAAAATAATTCTGTTAAACCATGTTTGAAAAACAAAGCAATGTTTGACTTTCATTTGTTCATTTTCATATAATTTTTACTCATTATTACCTCTGTCAGATTGAAGTTATTTCTGTAAGCATTGTGGGTTTCATTAACCCACAATGCCGCCCCCTCCCACACATATCATAACCTCACATACACCCCCCCCACACACAGCCATATTGTTCTGCACTTGCACTGTCACATCATCTGCACTTTACCATAATTGGACCTGCTGCTTCTTCTTGGTGTGGTTGAGTGCCTTTAGTTAATTTTAGTTGTATATATTATTATTATTATTGTGTGTTTGTTTATTTAATATTGTATATTTTGACTTTTTGCACGGGAGTTGCAATAGAAATTTCGTTGAATCCTGTTCAATGACAATAAATGCTATTATATTCTATTCTAACCAAGTGGTGCCAATAATTTTCTCCACTTCTGTAAAATCGCAATACACACAGAATTCTGCAGTTGTAACATGTCAAAATGTGGAAAGGTTTCGGAAGGCCCAGAATGTAATCTCTTCTCCTCACCATCCATCAATTCCTTGTTTCTGTAGCTCTGAGATGCCAAAGGAGAGTGATCCCATAAAATCATTCCGGCTGGTCAAATCCCAGTCCCATACCTCCACTGACAGACGCCGGTCCTTGTCACTTTCTTTGAGCTTACTAAGAGATATCAACAGAAAGCAGGACTTATGTGAATGCTGCTTCTCTTTATTTCAGCACATAAATTAATTATTTTGTTTCTGTTATTACAGTAAGCCAGAAAAATACTGGTAATCTTAGAGAATATGGATAAAACTATGGGGGGGAATGAATGGTGAAGGTGGGTAGTTGGGGGCAAGGGGTTGCTTATGTAACTAAAAATGAGGCCAACCTTTCCTGTTTCTTAAACAATGCCAGAAAAGGAACAAGTTGACTTAAAATCACTAAGCACAGGGAAGAAAAGAAAAAGTCTCACAAAGTGAAGGATTCATTCCAGGTGGGGTTGAGGCAACATTTCATGGTCTTTGTCTTCTGCTTGCTCTCACTCTTGGGGTCGGGAATCAGCTTGAGCTTAACGTAGGGGTCCGATAGGCCGTTTGGGTCCATGGGCACCAGGTTCTTTGCCTCTTTGACTGAGGAGCAGAGAGCAGAGAAAAATAAGTTCAACAGACAAAAGAAAAGATGCAATATGGATAATCTAGATTGGTTTATGCCCATGTTTGTCTGCCCTGAACAGCTCTGCATTTAACACCTGTGTAGTTTCTCTTCCATAATCAATCCCCAGCTGTCTGGCAGAGGAATCTGACATGTGGCTGCACATCCTGCTGGAGATGTGGGTCAATCGTTGGATAATTGAACGACTAAATGGACTTTCCAGTTTCAGTCTTAGTCTGATGGATCGCTTTGCTTAGAAACTGTGTGTGCATGCGTGTGTGTGTGTATCAAAGTGAAAACGAAGAGATGAATGGACAGACAGCACTCACTAGTGACGGCAAGAACATCGTCAGTGATGTGGGCGGAGATGTGGATGCGTCCTCTCCTTTCTGTGTGATCCGTTCCACACAGGCTTGGAACGTTGGCCACACAACGCTTGTGGATGTTCATCATGCAGTCTGAGAAACAAAAATACACACATCAATCATCACCTTATTAGCTGGTACATGGACTTAGAACAGCAAAGTTCTTCAATGAATAACTTAAAAGAGATAAGAACAGCAAAAGCTAAAGTATCCAGAGGAAGAAATCATTTGAGCTACATTTTATTTTATACACACAGAGTCTCTTCCTCCTATAGACTCTGATCTAGAGCAGAAAGTGTCTGTAGATCAGGAAATTCTGGTTTTTGGATTTCTGGAAATTTCTCTGAAAACTCCACAGTCAACAGTGAGAGGAAGTTGAAGGACATCCACCAACAGGGAGATTAGCAACTGTCCATAATGTTGCAGTCTGTAACTTTTAAAAGAAATATAATATTTTAGATATTTGGTGAAATTGTCACCATGCTGTGACAGTATGGTATGAGACAAAATAAATTAGTAAAAAATTCAAGCTCCTGAGCCTTCTCCCACCACCAACTAAAAACAACAAATCAGATCCAGGAGGCGGGTCTTAGTGCTGTTAATCTCCCAGTATATGGTGATGCTCATGCCCCCGTTTCCTTTCCTTCCTTGCTCTCTGTAGCAAGTAGAGCCTGTCATAAATGCTAAGGCCACCAATGACAGCAGATAAACTGTGAGTTGTTTCTCTATCGGTAGTATATTGAGCAGCATGACTGACAGCGCTAAGACCCTCCTACAGGCTTTCATTGGTTGTTTCTAGTCAGGATAACTTGACAGCAACATTGCTTCGCTAATATTTGTGCTTGTGATCAGGAACACCAGGTATGATATGAAGCAGCAGGGATGTACTGTTTTTTTTCTCACACAGCTTTTTCATGTTGAGGTTAGACTATATTTAAATAAGGTTAGAACCTGGTAAAAACCAGATGATTCCTATTTTGCAGAATACATCAAAGCCAGACAAATGGCAAGAATAACAAACCAGAAAAGAAAAAACAAAGTTGATTTTTGGGTCATAAACAACAGACAGCCTTTGTAAATTCTGATTCTGTCCACTAGATGGCAGACTCCTCTGATCTTCCAAGTCAATCATTGAGTTCCAATCAGAGGATGGAGGAGATGCTCTGAAGATGCTTTTCTGTCATTGGTTCTGATCTCCCATCTCCAACAGAGGGAACTCCACACACACATTGTTCCTCCCACTTACACAGCACAGCAAACAGTTCAACTGCTGAATAAACAGTTTTGTGGACTTTACGTGTATATATTCACGCTGTGGACACACAGAAATGATCTCATTCAAAACATTATACATCTATTTGATTGAATTAATTTGAACACAAGAATATTTAGAGTCTTGTTTTCTTGTACTTTGTTGGCCTAATACTTAATATTTTTATATTTCAGCTGTATTTCCCTGACAAAAGCACTTACATGAAAGAAAGAAAACATGAAAAACTATATATTATGCCTTTTATGAGTCTTAATAGTGGTAAAACATAAAAGTGGTTTGGCCCTTATATTGTCTTAAGTCTAAGCAAATGAGAATTGAAATTTTTCAGTACAGCTGAATAATGGCACTAAAGTTATACATAGCAGTCAGTTTCTCCCAATAAGATGCGTTGGATGTGTGAGCAGGTGGGGATTAATGCTAAGATTACAGCAGATACTGCAGAGACATAATGAAGTCTGGGAAATGCAGGTCCATCCTTCTACAGCTTGAGTTCACTGACAAGTGGAAAACCAGACAGGTGCCAATCTTCATGTGCGGGAACCTCAAAGCCAGTGTAATATTGTAATAAACTAAATGCTTGGATTTCATTTGCCATGATAAAGTAAATTAACAGAAACAAGAGTTTGAAATATCACCATGTGTGATGATTCTTATATTTTTTTAACTGAATTACTGAAATAACTCTTGATGCTGTTCTAATTTATTGAGATGTACTTGTGATCTAGAGGTAGACATCGTCCAGTTTTGATAAACAACTACACAGAAATCAGATAATCGAAACTAGAAAAGAACAAAATGTGTTAAGTTCCTAACAAACGTCAGTTCTTCATGCTGAACCAGGTAAATCTCTTCTATCTGCTCTGTCTTTGTTCTAACAACACTGGATGTACCAAATTTTTCTATCTAGATACGATGTTTATACAGACCCACATAAAACTAGACCTGTTGGTAAATTATGTAAAAGAGGCTGTTGTAGTGTATTCATTAGCAGGCTGGGTCAAAGTCCTTCACTCAGTAGGCACTGCGTGGTGCAATGAAGAAATAATATTCATAAAAGTCATGGTTAAATAGAGATCTGCAGAAACACACTTCCTATTCATATCAACAATAAATAAAACAAAGTGAATGAATATAAAAACCATACTGTGAAACGGTGACTTCAGAGATAATGCATGTGAATTAAATCCAGGTAGAAACACACAACCAGAGTTAAGCAATCAAAAAGACTAGGAAGCTGAAAGGAACTGCTGAAAAATCATAGAAATGTAATGTACAATTTTATTGTCTGATTAAATAGATCAAATCTGTGGTTGTCCAATATTAGGAATACCTACTAACAATGTTCCCCCTAATGTTTCATGTGTCTGGGCGTACACACAAGCTTCCTGGGCACACTGAGAACCACTGTGAGCATCATCAGTGTACACGGCGTGGCCACACACAAGTATCATAAATCTGGAATCATAGAAAGTTGCATGGCTTATTAAAAAAATCAAATTACATCAGCAATTTTCATTTGTTTGCTTTTAATTTAAGTGATTTGCTCAATTAAAATAAAAAAAAGAAAAGAAAAGAAAACATTGCTGTTCATGAGATGCATGCTATAAGTAAGAGTCCTGCTTCAGCCACGGTGAGAAATGAGACATTACATCTTTCAGACATAAATGTTTGTTCATATTAAAACATTCACATTTTGCACAATGAAATGTTTTCTGTAGCTTGTGATGCAGTATAAATTCTTGTAAAATATTTAATTACAGTTTTTTTCACGTCTGCCCTTCTCACTTCTCCAGTGGTTGTTCACTTAGCCCAGGTTGATGGTCAGTCTGCTTCTTGCTTTATGTGCTTGAATTCAGCATATTGACTGTTAATGGCCTCCATAATCTGTGGGTGGAGGAGAATGGCCTCATACTTCTTTGCCTGTGACCAAATGTCTGCTTATCCATAGTCAAAAGTCTGAACTCAACATTTCAATATCAAATGCAGACCATTCCTTTCATTTGATTTGATTCCATTTGATCTTAGAAGAAGTGCATTTCTCTTTTTTTACTTTGGCTTGGTGAGTGGATGTTCCACGTAAGACATGATAAGGTGATGGCTTTCACATTTCTTAACTCTACCGCACTATTCTCACCTGCACGGCCATATGACCAAGGTACGTAACCCACGTACACACAGCCAATCAGCATGCGCTGATTGGCTGCGTAGCGAAAGTGAACCATATCGTATCATTGGCTGGATTCCTGTCACTCACTAAGTTCGATCACAAAGTAGTACGGGAAAAAAAAATTATTGGTCCATAGTCAAAACTGATGTCTGAGCTCAATGTCCACTTTACGTTGGACTTTATTTTATGCGCTACATAGATTTTCTTGTGTGTTGAGAATATGTGAGCAGTGCGCGATTGCGCAGGCGCAGCTTAGAGGGAACATTGCCTACTAATTCCATTTTGTTGCTGAATGTTGCTTGAAGTTAATCCACAAGTCTTTTTTCCCGTCCCAGACTTTCTGAGATTATCTCCATAAACTTTGAATCTCAGTCTAATCTGTAAAAGATGCAATGGTTTTCATGAACGTCATCCATTTAACCGACATAATTAATAAATTAAAGGGAGGCAATAATGTGTGACCTCTGAACTTGGAAGTGCACCTATTTCAGTTTTCTGGCTGATCACTGATTACTGATGTTTAAAAAGCTGGACCTGCCAATTCTGATTTTGGCTGATACTGACATTTTTGTTAGAAATTTTGCTATTTTATTTATTTATTTTGAACATGATAGTAGTATTAAATCATGCACAAGAACAAGGAATGCAAAAGACAAATGTTTTTGTACTACAGTAATATTAATTAAGTAAGAAACTTATGAACTCCGACCCCATAAACTCATACAATATTTTCAGATGGACCAAATCAAATGTAAAAATAAACAGGTTAATTAAATTTCAATTTTATCTGGCTGTAATGGATTGTAAGTTATTTAAAATGAAATATCTAAATTATTTTGTAGGTTATTTGAATTGAACTATTTAAAATGAATTTTCTAAATTATTTTTGCAGTTTAAACAATTTAAATGAATTTTCTAATGTAAGACTGGTGCAGATTGTTTATGTATGTTTGTCTGTTTTGATTAGCATTGTTGATGATTTATTTTATTGAATGGTACTTTGTAATAGTTTGGGATTTTTTTTATATGCACCTCCTGGGCTGCCGTAGATAAAGAGGGCAGGCCTATAAAAACGGGGAAAATTCAGTGAACCAAATGAACTGTCAAATGTTTGGACCAAGAAAATGGTGTTCCCCAGTGAAAGCAGCGAGGTACATTTTGTTTGTTGTTGTATTGTGGGTTTGTGTTTTGCATTTTAATATTTGTATTCGTTTAGTTTTCACTGTGACTGTGGTAACTTGATGACCAGGTGAATGAAGAAATTGAGATGATGATCCTACAAAATCTTCATCATTGAAGTAAAACCAAAATCACCTGTGGAGACTGGCTGTTTTAATTCAAGTACTGGGGAGCTGCTACACTGGGTTTACAGATATCTAAGTATACACATCCATACCCACATACTCATGTGTTAGCCTCACTTTACATAAACACATTACTGCAATCTCTCATCCATATTTCTATATCTTGTGAAAATAACCTTAATTTCCTTTTAAATTGTATTACATTTTGACTTTGTTTTAACTCCTCATTTAACTTGTTTCATAACTTTACCCCATGAATTGAAATACAAAAGCTCTTTCTTGTTGATGGTAAACTACAAATCCTTACTTTATATCTCCCTTCTCTTTCATAAAACATGTTCTCTATGAGCCTTAAACTATGTTTAAGGCAGTTCATTAGATGCCTTGAACATAGTTTGAGAGATTTTAAATTCCACCAGCTCTTCAAATTGAAGAATTCTAGATTTTAAGAATAACGGGTTTCTGTGCTCATAATAACCCCATTAAGAGAAAGAAATAATTGATATTGTGAATAAAAGTAAAAGTAAGCATCCACTGACTGTGATGATCTAGACATAAAAACCATTAAAATGGTAGCTGAGGGAATCTCTAAACAGTTAACTTAAATTTATAATTTCAGGAGATTGTATGTGGGGAATCTCAAGGGTCAGAACTGGGACCAGTTTAATTTGATGTGTATATAAACCAGATAAGCAAAGTGTCGAACGTATTAACATTTGCTGATGACACAAATAGTCTAGTCTCTCGTGAAAACTTGAAACAACTTCTTTACATAGTTGCCTCAGAAATCAGTAAATTAAAGAAATGGTTTGACGATAATAAATTATCACTAAATTTGGACAAGACTAAAATCATGGTTTTCAGGAAGTTTTACAAAAATACTCAAATTCAAGTTGAGATAGAGGGTGTAACTCTAGAGGGATATATGTTAAGTTTCTCGGTGTAATAATAGATGACAAAATCAGTTGGAAACCTCATATTAAGCAGTTAGAGAATAAACTAAGTGTAAGCATATCAGTCCTGGATAAAGCTACACATATATTCTTAATAATATATCACTTCATATTCTATATAACTGCGACAGACTGGCGACCTGTCCAGGGTGACCTCGCCTCTCGCCCGGAACGCAGCTGGAGAGACTCCAGCACCTCCCGACCCCGTTAGGGAGAAGTGTGCTCAGAAAATGGATGGATGGATGGATGGATTATATATAACTTTGATTTTGCCATATTTGACATATTGTCCAAAAGTGAGGAGGAATTAATTACAATAGCTCTTTACATCCACCAAGTATCCTACAGAAAGCAGCCGTTAGAATCATAATGTTGGTTAGAATACATTGAACTTATTTGTATTATTCTCAACATAATTTAGATGAGTTGCTGTTTTTATTGCAGGTATATTTTCTGAAAAATGAGGTTCTATATTTACAAAATATCTATTGAATTTATTTACAACATACTTTATATTTATAGTATTCTGGTCATTATCTAAAAAATAATGTGGATAATTGGTACTGTTGGAAGTTTTCCTGACACGATTCAAATGTTCCATGTTCCTTAGTGATATTTTTATTACTATCCAATAATTTATAATAATATTTCTTTTTACATGTCTTTATAATATTAGTTAACTTGCTTGTATATTTTTTATATTTATTTTTTTATTTAGAAGGTCTGTTTTACAAATTCCCTAAAAAGTTTGTTTTTCTTTTTACATGCATTATGTTTCTTTTAGTAACCCACTGCTCATTTTTTGCCTCTTTTTCATCTTAATTTTCCTTAAGTGGATATTTCTTATTATATAGTAATGTCATTTATTAATATTCCACTAGTTAAACTATTTTCAAGAACATTTGTAAAAATATTATCAGCTGAGTTTGAACAGTGTGATGTAATGCGCCTGGGCCTGGTGATTTTAGGACGCAGGCTTAGATTGTCCATACATCCATCCATCCATCTTCTGCCACTTATCCCGGTCGGGTCGCGGGGGTAGCAGCTTAAGAAGGGAGGCCCAGACTTCCCTCTCCCCAGCCACTTCTTCCAGCTCCTCCGGGGGAATCCCGAGGCGTTCCCAAGCCAGCCGAGAGACATAGTCCCTCCAGCGTGTCCTGGTCTTCCCCGGGGCCTCCTCCCAGTGGGACGTGCCCAGAACACCTCACCAGGGAGGCGTCCAGGAGGCATCCTGACCAGATGCCAACTGCCCGAGCCACCTCAGCTGGCTCCTCTCGATGTGGAGGAGCAGTGGCTCTACTCTGAGTCCCTCCAGGATGACCGAGCTTCTCACCCTATCTCTAGCTTTGGGTAATGACCAAAAGAACGAGATTGCGGATACAAGCGGCCAAAATGGGTTTTCTCCGTAGGGTGGCTAGGCTTAGATTGTACATCTAAGCCCAGCTGTACTGTCATTTTATATGTATTTAGATTTCAAATACAAGGATGTTTTTGAACATTCAAAACAAGGATGTTTTGAATCCTTGTTATCAAAACAAAGCAAAGTCCTGCTCTGTCTCAAATAAAAATTTAAAATAAAACATAATAAATAAAACATGGAATATTGGGGATTAAGTTGCATTAATCCCCAAAGATAAATGCAACTTTTTGATGAACATTTATACATGTTTCCTCCATCCAGTTATTAGATATTTCTATATTTGATCCAGGATCTTTATTAATGCTACTCATAAAGACCTTCTTCTTTGTTTCCATGAGTATTTCTATAGTCACACATTCAAAGTCATAGTCATACATTATCCATGGCAGTCATAAAGTCAAGAAGGGTATGGACAACCCTGACCATCCTCTTTAAGAAACTGTCTTGGGAAGGCAGAGCATCTTCAGTCAGAGGCTTCTTTACTGTAATACTACAAGAGATCTTTCCTGCCAACAACCATCAACATCTGCAAGAACTCTGAAGAATTAATGAGTCACAACAACATTTCATTTCCCTTTGGTAATAATAAAGTATTTTTTTATTTTGAATTGAAGTTGAAATTAATTAAGGTAACGGATTACAAGAGCAGATAGATTAATCAAAGCCTTACTGCTTTCCCAGATCCAGATTAACTACTGTATTATTGTAATTGTGTACAAGTATCAGGTTTTACCTGAGAAACGTTTACATAAATGGATATTCCCTTCTCACTAATTAGACAGATAATAGCTTATTGTACTGGCATTACGCCATGAAAAGCAGAATGGCCAGTAATACTATCATATCCAATACAAACTGCTGCAGAGGTACATACGATCGGTGTATAAGATGGCTTTCACATGTACAAATTGGCCAATCATCCAAAATTCTGGAAATTTCAGCAGATTTTCTGCAAAAATATGCAGGCTATGAACTGGTGAACCAGCTGTATCTTAGTAACAAGCAAGTGAGAGAGGATGAGCATGAAAGTGATTGACAGCGATAAGACCCTCCTCCTGACATTGATTGGTTGTTTCTGACTGAGTGGTGATTTTCCGCATTTAGTACTAGGAGCAGAGGGAAAAGGCAGAGGAGCTCAATTTCTTCACAGAATATCTGCCATATATTGTACTCTAATGAGATAATAGTAATAATGTTAACAGAGAAGTAAAAACCAGTTTTTAAATAAAAAATATATACTGCAACTTTTAAAAAAAAAGGAAGTTATTTTTCTATGCTGAATGTAACTGAAGGGAGACCAACTGCACCCTGGTGAAAATAGGGGACAATTGCTCTCATTTTCAGGACCTGATTTTGAAGGGTATGCTTCATTCATCCAGAGCAGAAATACATTGAAGAGTGGGAGTAAGATATGCACAAAAATGGAGAACATTCTCCCTGAACAAACTTACTTTGCTGCCAAACTCACTGAGCTCAAGCTACAGCACACAAACAAGTAGCTAAATGCTTTGAATACATACGGTCGCATTTCATGCCCTGGTGTATCAGCCCATACAGGAGGGAGCCACAGTGGTCACAGAAGGTGGGGCTGGAATAGGTGTGGACCCGAAACTTGTGTTTACTGCGAGGATCCTGTAGGAACATAAAGAATCAATTTATCAGATTTATTTGTACAGCACATTTCAGCAAGAAGGCAGTTCAAAGTGCTTAACATCATAAAAATATAAAAATACAAAGTCAAAAATTAAAGCTGCATAGCGGCGTCATGTGGCCCTCGCCAAGCGCCGCTCCGGCCTATTGGCCACCGCGGGGGTTCTGGGACCACCGCCTGCCACCCGTCCGTCACCGCAGATATACACCATGCAAAAAAACTGGTTTGTTTCTGTTGGAAGAGGGCAGAGCTAAGGTGATAACATCAACTGACCATGACAATGTGATAAGGACTACTTTGTATTGAGACATATCAAGTCTTATGCAGGTGTCACCTAAAAAGTTCAAAGTTATTTAACTTTGATGTTTCATGGCCAATAGTCAAAGTTTGACACTTAGCCACACCCATACCGTTCAGGCAGCAGACAGCATTAACAGAGTTCATCAGATTATCATTTTGTCACTTTGCATTGAATGAAATCCATATAAATAACAGAGTAAAAGTAAGTGTGACCATTGTTCCAGTTTTCCCTATGAACAGTACGCAGATTCTCTGACCTACATTCAATCAAATAGTTCAAATAGTTCCGTATGTATTCAATAGTGTGTGTGCGTAACTGAACAAGACTAAGATGACTACACTTGAGATCTAAATGCAGTGCAACTTTAACCTTATAAGTTGAAGATGTACCAGTTTAATAAACCATACTGCTCAGTAATAAACCAAGGGCAATACACATTAACAGAGCACAGTTAACTTTCAGCACATTAGAACAATAGCACAGGCTTTATACCACCCATTAATTAGGTATTAATCACAGGAAGTGCTACAACTAAATATTACAACCCCAATGGATCTGTAATAAGATACTTAGCGTTTTCTCAGAGCTCTTTGAAACAAGTCTTTAAAAAGGTTCTATACATAACAACAAACAAGGCTGAATGTATAAAACTGGATGTATCAAACACACTATTCAGTTTCTTGAATTAGTAAAGCGCTCCTTTAGCTTTACAAACGTTGCAGGCCTGAGGGACTCGGTGAGCATCGTCCTCCGAATAGCAGTTCTAAAGATGGCTGCTCCCATGTTTGGAACTGCAAAAGGAATGGGTTACTCGCCTCAAGTTACTAGTTTTTAAACGAACGGCAATAAAACTGCTCCAACTCCAGTACAACAGTCCGTTCCGGCTCACGAGCGTGGTTTGGGTCTGCAGCTCCAAAACCCAAGCAAAACGTTGAGCATAGTTTTGCTCAGCAAACATTTTGCTCAGCAAATGTTTGCTGAACATTTTGCCATGCAAAATGTTCAGGAAAAGTTAGCAGCTCCAACTGATTAGAAAAAAAAGTACAGTCCACAGTGGAATACGCCGAACCTCAACCATGAACAGCTGCCGGCCGACTAGCCAGTACATAGCATCTTACAGGCACAGCTCCAGTACAGTTCAGTCCATCACAACCAATCAAATTGCTTAAATTTGATTTTGCACTTGACTGACCAGTAAGGTAGGGACAAGTGAAATTGATGCATTTTCTTGCGGTAGTAAATAACAGTTATTAACAAAACACTACATATACTGCGTGTTTTAAGCCAACAAACATTTCCTTTTGAAAATGTCACGGCAGACACTCTCGCAAAGTTTTCACCCCCATCCACCCGTCGATCTGTTTTGACATCTTTAGCTGTCTTTCTAAAGCAGGTTGATTCATTAGTGGAGTAACACTGACCCCTACTGGCGAATTACTGAAATGGTTTCTAAACAGTGAATGCTGATGAATGACATCCTTTCTATTATTTCTAACCAAAATCAATGAATGTTTGTACTCTAACCAACAAAACAAAATTATTAAAAAAAAAAAAAGAAAGAAAACTTATAACAATGTATTTTAAAATAATTAATATGTTAACCTGGATAACATAACCTATATTTCATGGGCTGCTGTGTTATTGGCGGGGCTAAGGTGATGTCATCAACTCACCATGTAAATGTGATCAGGACTGTTCTATAGAGACATAGGAAGTCTTATGCAGCTGTAATCTTGCATTTGGACGTTATTGAATCTTGATGTTTCATGGCGAATAGTCAAAGTTTGCCACTTAGCCTCGCCCACATGCTTTGACCTAGGAAAATTTATTTGATAGCTTTTCACCTTTGATCCCTCAAGTGAGTGTTGAGTGATTTTGAAGTCTGTATCTGAGAAACTGTGGGACGAGTTTGATCAGATACGACCTCTATAACAGGACAGAGGGAAGAAGTAGTGACCCCTTGTACTTTTCTGTAAATATCCATACTTATCAGGCCAAACCATATAGTGCAATATCATATCACTGGTCAATCTATCCGCCAAATTTCTATATTTTCTCTTGTGTTGTATTTATATTTTTTATTTATATTTTACCTATATTCTTATTCCTTGCTTATTTTTGCTTACTTTAGGGTTTTGGCTACTCACATTTAGTGTGTACCTTTGTATTTAATTTGTATTTGTTGTATTCTTTTGTATTTTGCGTACTGTGTGCCACTTTTCTGCCTGTAAGCTGCTGGTAACTTCAATTTCCTGAGGGAGTCTTCCCAAGGGATCAATAAAGTACGAGTCTAAGTCTATAAAGAAGAGAAAATGACGTCTTTGATCCAAAATGGCTGACTTTCTGTTTGGTTTATACCATTGTTCCAAGACACTATCTTGTCACATGTGTGTCAAGATACACATGTGTACCAAGTTTCGTAATTGTAGGTTAAAACATGGCTTGGGGCTGATCATTTCCAGTGTTCTAGGGAGCGCTATAGAGAAATTAGGCCACGCCCACCAGTTTGTTATGGATTCCTGTCGGGGAATGGATGAGGATCCATCCTAGTGAGTTTGGAGCAGCTCGGCCCAAAACTGTGGAATTGAGAGCCAAACGTACGGCAATGGCGTTACAGGTCATGCTGCCACGCCCACCTGCTCCATCGAATCCGGTCAGGGTTGGACTCCTCAACACACCAACATGTCTTCTGTCTTTGGACACAGTTTCATGTTGAAGAGGTCAACTTTGGGGCCTCTGTGAGTTTTTGTGTAGGAGATATAACAGTTTATTTTTTTATGGCGAGTAGGTAAACTTTGACCCCTGTTAACCCCTTTCAGCATGCTCAAAAACTCACCGTTTTGATAGCTTTAGATCTGCCATGCCTTATGAACAGACTGACCAAGTTTGAAGCCGATCAATCAAAATTCCTAGGAGGAATTCAATCAAACACGAAGGCTGTAAACTGCAAAAATGGGGTCAAAATCGAAACTTCAAAATGGTCGACATCCTGTGATACTTGTGTAACCCACAAGTTACTTTAAATACACCTGATAATAGTAAAAGGCAGGTAATTCAATTTACTTCTCTAACCAGTACTAATACTATGAAAGTATATATAAAAAGATCAAAAGATTCTGAATTCTTGGGAGCCTAGGTGTGAATGACAACACGGGAGTGCACAAAGTGTTTATAAGAAAGAGTAAAATTCAATAATATAAACAATTGTGGATCCACATGTACAATTGCAACAAAATGGTGCGCGGTTTTTTAAAAAACAGAAAATAAAATAAATAATCTTCTCCAATGTGTCAGTCAGTTCTCTCAGTATTTCAAGGATAGTGACCAGTCGGGTCACTGTCTGCCATCTCACTGTGTTCTTTGGGCCGAGGCTCGCCATCCAAATTCAGAAGTGGGTCTTGAAGTCTCTGGGCACTCCAGGCCAAAAGTGCACCGTAAAAAGAAAAAACCTGACCTGGAACAAGGCCAAAGTAAAACATTTTAGAGTGTAAGATGCCAATATCAATCAAACCTATGTATCAATAAATTGTTATAATTCAGAGATCTTCCATCATTGCTCAAGTTTTTCTTTTCAAGTTGTACAAAAATCATCAGTTTATCAGAAAACAATGTTACTTACACATTAGTAAAACTAAAGAAATTAGCTTAATATGTGGCAAAGAAAAATAATACAATAACATAATAATAATATATATTTCAATCTAAAAGTGCCGGTATATCTACAACACAATAAATTTCTTGTAATACCAACGGAAAACTGAAATAGAACCGTTGAACTATTAGGGCATGTACTCAAAGAAAAATAAACATAACTACACAGAAAAAAAGTATAGCTAATGTACACAACAATGATAATACAAAATTTTACTGTACTATTTTATTTTTATTAAATTTGTTCAGATATTACGTATTTTTGCCAATTTTCAACCAATTCACTGAGCCAACTGCCGAGCGCGTGCGGTCACTGACCAACGCTCTGACGAGTCTGACGCTAACGGGGATTTTTTTTTCCCAGTCTCAGCTGCTCTCAAAGAATCTTTCAGAGATAAAAAAAAATGAATTTACTATTTTCAGTTATATATTTTGCGAAACTATACCAATATTGTTTTTCTTACCATTTGTCCAGATTCTACAAGCTCTTTCAGTCTCTAACGGAAACAACGGTAGCTGCGAGTTCTCAACCGCCTCTGAGCAGAATCACAGCGCAGTAGAGAAAGGGGCGGGACAATCAACCCCATTGGCTGACGCAATATCAGACCACGCCAGCCATTGGTTGCCCAATCCATCAGCAAAACAATCACTAAAGGCCTACTTCATAGTTTTTAAAGATTTTTTAGTACTTTTTCATATATATTTATGAGTAAAACAAAACACAAAATCTATTTATATTTTCCAATCTTGTGAAAAAAAATAGACATCAAATTAACATCATTAACTTTCACTTGTGTTTTTAACACTGGGTTACACTTGCACTATGACATTAATTGTAAATTCTGAGTATCTTGGTGAGATCTACAAGTGTACCAAATTTCATGTCTCTGAGAGACATGAAAGGGAAAGGATCCTTTGAAAATTGTTAGATGGCGCTGTTGAGCCGTTTCTTTTGCGATTTGTGTGTCGATCATAAAATACGAAATTTTTAAACAGGCTTAAGGCCTCCGCCAAATTTGTTGAGTTTTTGAATATGATAAAGCCCTCAAAGAGGGTGGCAGAATAATAATAAGAAACAGTACAAAAACAATGGGCCTTCACAGCGCTTAGCTGCTCGGGCCTAAAAATACCTCGCACTAAGCCAGTTAACATTACATTTTGTCAAGTGCCATCAATATACATCAAAATGTTGATTAGAGTTTCAAATTAACTCGAAACAGTTTTTTAGTCCAGATTTAAAGACACTCAGTGTCTCAGCTGTTTTGCAGTTTTCTGGAAGTCTTTTCCAGATTTGTGATGCATAGAAGCTGATCGCTGCTTCTCCGTGTTTGGTTCTGGTTGTTGCAGAGCAGAACCAGAACCAGAACCAGAACCAGAGGGGTTATGGAAGGTTGATACAACAACAGCAGATCTTTAATGTGTTGTGGTGCTGAACCGTTCAGTGATTTATAAACTAACAACAGTTTTTCAAGTCTATTCTCTGAGCAACAGGGATCCAGTGAAGGACTTTAGAACTGGAGTGATTAAGGGTCCAGAGATTTATCGGTGCTGATTTCCTTCATTTCTACTCATAAAAAAGCCAGTATCGGTCAAATTAGAATCAGCAGGTCAAGCTTTTTAAAGATCAATACAGATCTGTCTGCAGTTTTCTGACCAAACACTGCAATCAGTGCACCTGTAGGGGTGATGTGCTCTTTCTTGCTAGATTTAGGGAGAATATCAGCAGCACCTGGAGGATTGATTTTTATAAGGCAGACCTGTGAGGACACTGTTGCAGTAATCAATGCGACTAAAGATAAAAAATGAACGAGTCTCTAGATCTTACTGAGACATAAGTCATTTATTCGTAAGAGAAAACAATTTTAAAAAAGGACAATTATTAGCAAATCTATATTAAGTAACAGTTGTTCATTTGTCTTACAAGCTGTACTTAGAGAGCTGAGTCAGCAACCAGTAAACATTCTCCCTTTCTACCTTGGATGATAGTTCAATTAAGCAGCTTTGTGTCTGAATTAGTTGAAATAATGCATATATGCAGAGAAAAGCTGTAACTTATTAGTTTGTGAAGGCAAAATTATTTATTTCCACACTGCCACTGTTCTTGGCTGCCTGTTTTGTAAGAGGAAGTAAAAGTTTTGGGAATTGGCTCCTTTTGCAGGAGTTACATAAATAATTAGCAGTTGAAGCTGCTCATCGTTTCTTCCATGGAAAAATTTCCCAGGTATTCCTGGAGGCCAGATCAACACCTGGAAAAACATCTTTATTGACAACTTTTCTGCAGAATTATGTCTGGCGTTGTGTGCAAGTGCAAGACTGCTTAGAAAATGTCACACCCTCTGAAAATTTAAAGGGTCAGTTTTAAAAAAAATTTAAGTCAACTGATGTTTCCCAGTTAGTGTTTCCACTGATCAGAGATTGTTAGACAGGTACCTTTGAAGACAGAATTGGAGATTAATAAAACATCATAAAGTACATTAAGAGAGAAGAGTCCTGGATCATTACCCCAAGCAGCCAGGCAGCATATCTCTACTTTATGCACCTTTCCTAATAGGACTTAGACCCGACAAGAAGCCAAAGTCCACAACACTGTTTATGTGTGCAAGAGTTCCTCCAGCAGGATTTGTGTAACTTAACATTGCATGATACATAGTTGTGAACATAGATGACTTTACCCATTTTCTTTATTCTTTTTTTTTGTTTGTTTATTAACAAAAAAAGGAAATTGAAAAGTGTGGCAGGCATGGTCTTTCATACTTTATAAACCCATTTTTATTTTAGAAAGATATTAACCAGGTTTGCACATTCACGTACTGAATCTTTGCCCACTTTTTTGAGCAACAGCTCAAACTCAGTCAGAGTTGATGCTGACTGTCTGTGAATGGATGTTCAAGTCCAGAATTTCTCAATCTGAACATTTTTTCATTATTTTCTGAATGGTTTAGTTTTTTTGCAAAATTTTTTAAGTCTAGATTCTTGGCTACAGATAAATTAGAGATGATTTCATATGCAAGTCATATATTAGATGCTACACATGGCACAAATTGAAGGGATTTTATACTTTTCCTTTAACACTGTTAAGTCTCCATAAACTCTAAGTTTTTTTTTAAAGGAGACCATACAACACAGTGAAAACCTGAAGCTTTACTCGCAGGCCTCTGAGAGCTGTATTCTCAAACATAGGAGGTAATTGAGCCAAATGAATAAGCTGTGTTGGAGCATCTAAAACATGCAGGATCCCAATCCTGGTGGACTGGACATGGACACCCATGTTTTAAAACTGCTGATTCTCCCACCTGAGCTGTGGATCTCTCCAGTTCCTCCAAAGTTACTAACATTTTATACAAAAAATTATTTTAAGGGTATCAGAGCAAACAAGGCTGAATAGAAACATATTTAATACTTCCGTTGTGTGTGTGAGTGTGTGCGTGTTTTTTTTTACGGAAACCTTGAAAGTCACAGTTACTTCACAACTATGAATCACTTTGGAATGTTGCAATACCACACAAAATTCAAATGAATGACTAAATGTTTATGGTTGTAGCAGGACAAAATATGTAAAAGTTCAAGGAGGATTAATACTTTTCTAATGTACCGTATATTTAGGAGCAAAAAGATAAACATTGTCTCGAACAGTTTTTCTGTTAGATCATCTTTCTGAGTGGGATTACAGGGCAAAGAAAAGAGACTGTTGCTGAGAGGGTGTGCCTGTAAGCATTCTTTACTTACGTCAGACGCAGGTCCCTTGTCGGCCCCTGGACAGGAAAACGTGACAAACTCATGACAGCGCTTATGGACCACAAAACAGCACACTACAGAGGAAGAGAAAAAAAAGAAAAAATATGTACTCCGGTTTCATCAGAGTCCACAATATGGCAACAAAGCCATATTTCAGAGCTTCACATTAGATAAAATGCTCCTTTTTTTAAATAAAAACCCTTTTTTCATACTTCAAATGGAGTCATATCAGGCTTGGAATCATAATTACACCCATTGACATTAAAGCTGAGACAAGAAATTCACATTAGTAGCTTCAAGCAGCAGAAAACTCTGAATCTGCTGTGTTTCCTGCTCAGTCAATGAGGTGAGTGACTGAAATAAACAGTTTCACACTCAACACTGCTCAGTCAAATGTTTCTGTGAACCAAACACATTTACTGCAGTGCTCAAAACTTCAAAGTTAAGCCCAGATGAGAAGCACTTAAAGGTTTAGTGTCAGTTTAAATGTGAAAACAGCAGCAACAGGGACCCAGTCAAGAGTTTCAGTCAAATGTTTCGTTTAGAATGTGTTTAATGATGATATGATGATCATACAGTCAATGAGATGCAAACTGACTCACATTTATGAACATTTATGCTCTGCAGCTAAGTCAGGTTTTTTAAAGGTTGTTGATGATGACATTTATTTTTCAACATAGGACGTGGAGATAGTGACTTTTTTCCCTAAAAGGAATGCACAATGTTCAGGCTCGCAGTACTGTTGTGCATTTCCTGAAAGGAAAGAAATAACCACCGTCATGAACTCATCTGGTTCAACCCTACATTTTGACATCCACCGTCCTGGATGTGGGCTACATAGTCGTATTAGAAAAACAGGACTCCCTAAAGCAATTCATGTGTTTTTCAAAAATATATGGACATATGGATGTTTAAAAGCAGTTTTAATAATACCTTAGAAATGTTATGGGACAAGAAGAAACAAGAAAAAAAATCAAAGAAACTAGATAAAAATAAAAACATGGGGAGAAATACATTTTGACATCTTCACATTTATTCCCATTAAAAATGGCAAAAAAAAATCACAACAGATCCACATTTTGAATTAGAGCAACCTTCTAAACGTGGATATTTAGATTGATATGCTCCTGATTGTTACGGTGGGGCTGAACTTCACACTGGCAACAGAAAGCCTTCAGAAATAAACTGCAGCTTATCAACGTTTCATAGCAGTGCTCCATGGGATTTAAAGAGGTTGAAGTCTGTCAATCCCCTTGATGGAGAACAGCGAAGAACACAGAAAACCACAGACAACATGCCCAAATTTGACTAAATTCACTCTGAAAGCAGAACACCAGATGCTAACGGTAGTCTATAAAAACCCAGAAATGATCCACAAGAGTCTGTTGTTACTGTTGATGTGATGCCTCTGGACGAGTTTCATAGAATGTCTAAGCAGAAAGCTTACTTTCTAAAAAAACACAAAGGCACACTTAAAGTTTCCCAGAGAGAAGATAGAGAAAGAGTCATACTTTTCTGGAATAATATTCTTAGGAAAAATGAATAACGCTGAAATATTTGGACGCCAGAACAGAGGACAAGTTTGGCATGAACCAAGCAGAGCCTTTCATACCAAGGCTCTGTTTGGTGGAGCCTTGGTATGAATTTACATATTACATAATTTACACATTAAGCAGTACATAGTAAGCCCAACAGAATAAACCATCATGAACAAAGTCATCTGGAATGACGTACACAACCAACATGTTTGAACGACACCTCCATCTCCACCATCCATCTCCACCATGGAGGTGGAGATGGAGGTGGGGGTGTCGTGGTTTGGGGATCATATTCTCAGAACTGGTTGAGGACAAGGAAGTGGGAATTTCTGGCCTCTAATTTATTAGAGCTTTCAATCGCTGCAGGCCCAGCCACAGGCCCAGGGACATGGGCAGGCATTCCCCGCCCAGAGAGTCAGCAGAGCCTCCCCTGGAATGGAAGTTGTTGTTTTTTCCAGAGTGGCCAAATTTCTATTATTCCTATGTGTATATTTGATATAGTGGAGACTCCCACACTGTGGCCTCTGTCCCTTGCACTTTTCTTATCTGTGACAACGGTTTAATGCATTGTCAACATGTCATAACATGTTTTTCCGAGACGCCTTTAAACGCAACATGAGTGCCGCTTGCTTCATAATGTGTGGCAGTGAGGGACACCTGCTGGCAGAAAAACTGTGCACAATTTGTTTTCCCAAGCTGACGGAGTGTGTTGAGGAATGTTGTTGGATGCAGATAATATTAGCGAAATGATGGCTAGCTAATGCCAATATTTGACCTTGAGCTTGTCAAAAAGAATAATCTGCCAACATTATTATCGATGCTCAAAAGTGGGATATACTGGTTATATTTACTTGAGCTACTTTTTGGGGGGAAAGATACTACACAGTACACAGCACCGTACAGTTTTACTGCACTGTGCTTTTTACTTTTAGTAGAATAATACTATTGCTGCTTTTATTTGAGTATATTGCTTCTGCATTTAAATAATAGACTTCACCATTTAGAAACATTAGATTCTTAGATTTCTGCAACATATGAGTTGATGTTTATGCAAATTTGAATGTAATTTCTCAACATTTAATACATGTCTTGATGTTTATTTTGTAGTTACCCGGTTGTTTTATGTAAAAGATTGCATAAAGGTTTGTGTATGTCTTTATATTCAAATAAAAGCTTGTTTACTTTCCCCTCCAAAATAAGTCAATGCCTCTCCTGCTAAACTCCTCTGGAGCCGGGGCTGACCAGGCTCCTGCTGGATGGATTATACTGACACAAATTTTGTTGTGATTCTCTACAGCACATGTACAATAAAAAAGCATTTTTATTCTTAGTATGCTGTGTCTAAATAGCAAATTTCAGTCATTTTTGTGAGATTTTTCATCTTTGATCAGTGTATTTACTGTTTTGAACATCAAGGCCTGCTAACTTTAAATAGCCAACTAAGCATTAGAAACACATATATAAGTTTCTTCCACTCTGGCCCAGATATAGATTAACTAAAGCCCACCAAACAAAGTTGAGACAATGACCAATCCTGAAACAACAGAGTGGATCAGTGACAGCCCATCGTCTCTACCGTATCAGTGCGGTTAGCCTCATAAGTGAAATCCAACAGAACAACATTGCACCCTGCTGATTAAAACCACTTCCACCTAATAGTGACTTGCAACAGCAGAAAATGGAATTAAGTCATAACTGCTTCATTTTTTTTTCAGCATTAAAATACTTCCATCTTGAAACAAAGAGAAGTTCCTGAAAATACTCAGGGTGACCTTGCTCAGCTTTATTCTTAATTATTCACCTTCTCATTAAGGTTTAATGAGGCACCGTGGCAACCGCACACACTTTCCACACAATTCATGGCATTAACCAACAGACAGCTTGTGCTTGTGTTAATGTTTGTGCTTATTAGTGTAGGTGTTGTTAAGAATTAAAAAGAAGAAGAACTTGATTTAGCTCTTTAATTAATTCTTTGTCCCGAATTCTTGTGTCTGTATACGTGTGCAGAGAGAAAAGAGCAATCATACGACGTCAGACTTCAGATATCCAGAGTTTTATCCAGAGAAATTCAATCCAAGAAGAATGTTACAATAAGCATCTCACCTAGAGCAAAAGTCCAAGACATTACAAAACAGAGACAAAGAACTGAGTAAAAAAAAAGACAAAAGAATAACAGAAGATGCATCCTCCGGGAAACTCTCACTCAGCACAAAGAGATTCCAACTTCTGTTGTGAAACAAACCATTTTTTATAGACTGCATATTCTCCTCATTTAAATATATGCATTAGGAGGTGTGTTCTTTTCCTTTGTGTGGGCTGTCTCAATGTTAATTTTATTACCTCTGAGACCCAACCTCCGTACCAGGCTCCGACCGATTCACAGCGTGGAACTGGAACGTTATCTGTGCCTCAAGATGCTTCAACAAGAAAGTAGTTTGTATTTTTAACCAAGCTTGCACACAATGTAATGCTAAATAATGACTATAAGTTTGGATCTAATAAGTAACTAATTAAAAACATGCTTAAAGAAATATATTTAATTCTAATATAGATACAATTATTTATAAAAAGTTTTAAGATCCTAGTGAACTTTTGAACCATGCTCAGGAATTTGTTAATTGCCTGGCAGACAGACTCCCTGTCTAAAGAGATTCTAGGCCTGTTTTCTGTCGAATCCTCCCTAAGAATTTATATAAGTTCAGAGATTCAGCAGTTGTTTTAGTTTGGATCTTTATCTAAATTTATGTGAATGTAGAGTGTACTTTAACTTTCTATGGTATATTTCATATGTATCAAAACTATCCTGTGCAGTATTGTGCTAATTTAAAATATTATTTCAACAGTGTGAAAAATGGGTCACATTCGCTGAATTCAACTCAAACTGATTCCACATTCCAGGCACCAAAAAGGGGTGAATTTGACTAATAGGCAGGATGGACTGTACTTAAGGGAAAGCCTTCAAAATGCAAAATTATCACTGAGGTTGGAGAGAATAGCAACTAAAAGAAGGGGCAAGGGACAGAAAAAGAAAAAAACAGGAAGTTAGGCCAAGAAAAGGAAAAGATGAATGCCTGAGACTGATAACAGAGACCATCAGTTATCACCATCGGTTATCTAAATCAACAAAATTTTTAAATATTCTTATTATTTGGAAACAGTCTTCACAAGAACATAAAAAAATCTCTTTTGGTTGGTGGGTCTAATTCATACCATGCCAAACCCCAGCTGACGCAATGAGTAGCTTCTTGTTTCTTAGACTGCGTGAAAAGAAACATGTTGGAGTCATGGAAAGGATGTTAATCTGTTTAAAACCCAGTTCACACGACACGATTTTAGAAAAGTCGGCCGATTCTGAAAACGTGAGAGAGAGATCACACACTAGGCCATTTAAAATCGTAGGTGTAACGGGTTCGATCGTAGACATTCTAATTCCAGATACGAAATCCCTTCAATTTAAAATTCTGCGCTACCACACCTGAACTTAGAGCAGTGCTTCTCAAATAGTGGGGCGCGCCCCCTTGGGGGGCGCTGTGCGA